ATAGGCCAGTTATTAAGTATTAATTAACTTACGATCCAGACCTTAGTCCAGTAAATCAAAACCAATGAAACACACAATTACATGATCCAATTAGGGTCTCCATCGAATTCAAAACAACTCATACTCCTACTTTTGCATGGTTTGGTTCTGCCTCATATCTTCTTAAAACACCAAGTATAACTCTAAAAAAATAGCATATTTTCTCAAAATTCTGTGAACGCGGCTTCGAGGGGGGCACCACGTGATTGAAGCCCACGCGGAAACCCAAGGCCCACCCGAATACTTCATATATATATCAACTTTGATTTTTTTTTTAGAAGTGTGCAAGGGTTTGTGCGGGTGTGAGAGGAGATTTGCGGCTGCGGGAAAAATCACAGCAGGAGAAAATTGGCGGCGGGTGCAGCAAAGAAGGAACAGAGTCGGTTTTTTTTCTGTTTTGTTTCTTTGTGTTTGAGTAGCCCTTCTCTAGGGTTTTGTGCATCCTTTTGTAGAGAGATATTGTGAGGGATTTGAGAGTTTGTTTGAGGGTTTAGATTGTGAGTGATTGTAAACCCTAGTTGTAATCTCTCCCTCTAGTAGTAGATCTCCCCCTCCTTGCCCCGTGGACATAGGCTATTTGCCGAACCATGTAAAAATTGGTTGTCTCGTTATTTGTGTGATTTGTAATAGCTTTTAGGTTCCCTCGACAGGTCAGTTCTAGAACCGATGAGAGGAAGAGCTGATATCTCACTTGGTTGTGATATTTTGCTTTAGATTCTTGTTTTCTTGGTGAGACAGGAATTCTTATTGCGACCTGACTCTCTTGTTGTGCTGCCGAAGTGCTGCCAAAATTTTCGCTACGTGCAACAAGTGGTATCAGAGCCCAGATTTCAGATCTAGGGTGTTTTGGATTAGGTGGAGGAATATTCAGTTGGAAGCTTGGTTCTTGGAGTTCTAAGCTTCGGTGGAGATAGCATTAGGAGTTACCATTGGAGATTTTGCTTTCCTCGTGTGGATAGGAGATCTATTTGGAATCCGATCTAGGGTTTAGTTGGGTGGTTCCTAATTTCTATCAAATTTGTTCTTTCTCTACAATTTGGAGTTAGTTTGCAATGAGAGAAGAAGATGAGAGCAGCAAGTCGATGGCGAGTACAATACAAGTTGGTTTTCAGAACACTAAGATTAGTGTGGTAAAGTATGACGGCAAAAAAGTTGGTTTTCAGAACACTAAGATTAGTGTGGTAAAGTATGACGGCAAAATCAACTTTGGTTTGTGGATGAGCGACGTACAGGATGCGCTCATGGTAAAGTATGACGGCAAAATCAACTTTGGTTTGTGGATGAGCGACGTACAGGATGCGCTCAATGCTCTGAATCTGGAAGAGACCATCATGATCCACGAGAGGCCACCTAAATATGAAGAGACGGTATGAGAGAAGATGAATAGGAATGTTTGTGGGGGTGATCAGGTCCGGTTTGGAACAGGAGCTGAAATATGATGTGATTGGGGTGACGTCTACAATGAAGATGTGGGAAATTCTCAACAATAAGTATCTCACAAAGAGTATTGAGAACATGTTGCACTTGCTGCGAAAACTCTTCAGATTTCAGATGTCCAGAGGTACCTCGCTAGCGGCTCATGTGAACAACTACACTAAGTTATTGTCGGGCTTGGCGAATGTTGATGAGAAGATATCGGATAAGTACAAGGCTATTATCTTATTGGGATCCTTACCGGATGAGGAGTATGATACCTTCGTGCTCACTTTGTTGAATGAGAGATCTTCTATCAGCTATAGTGAAGTGACTAACACATTGACCAATTACGATTTGAGGAGGAAGGACAAGGAGACTTCCCGAGCTAGCACTTCAGGCGAGACCTTGTCGACGAGAGGTAGAAGCCCATATCCAAAAAGTGGTA